AGAGCCAGTGTGGTGTAGTGGTTAAGAGAGGTAGACTCGTAATCTGGTGAACCGGGTTCGCTTCCCCACTCCTCCACATGCAGCTGCTAGGTGACCTTGGGCCAGTCACACTTCTCTGAAGGCTCTCAGCCCCACTCACTTCACAGAGTGTTTGTTGTGGGGGAGGAAGGGAAAGGAGATTGTTAGCCGCTATGAGACTCCTTAGGGTAGTGATAAAGCAGGATATCAAATCCAAACTCCTCCTAGTGCATAGTTAAACTTCAGAACTCACTTCCACAGGAGGCAGTGATGACCACCAACTTGGGTGGTTTTGAAAAAGGATTAGACAAATCCATGGAGAGGGCTTTTGATGGAAACTAACAATGATGGCTATGCCCTGCATCCGTTGTCAGAGTGCTTCTGAATACTAGTTGCTGGAAATGGCAAAAGAGGAGAGTGCTCTTGTGCTTGTGTCTTGCTTGAGGTTTCTCATAAGGGGCACCTGTGAGATGCTGGACTAGATCCAGCTGGGTCTTCTTATGTTCCTCAGACTTTCTGCATCAGATCCAGCTGGGTCTTCTTATGTTCCTCAGACTTTCTGCATCAGCTCAGCAGCCAAGGAGCCATTTGGAGTCACTGCCAACTAGATTCTACTCAGAGCCTGCCCCCTGGAATTAATGAGTCCCAAACTTAGGTCCATTAACTTCATTGGGTCTACTCTTGAGTAGCACTGGATATAAGCCTTGATCTGGCATGTGCACTCATGACAACCTGCATTTGTCCTCGTTCACTGGAATGAAGTCTGAAGGAGAGCTATAGAAGGCCAGCTGTTTATTTGCATTCGTTCCAAGTTTTTATATGTGGAGATCGTACAACGTTGAGTGAAGCATGTCTTATCCTACACTTTCTAATGGGTTTTCCCCTCACTTTCCTTATTGCAGAAAGTATAATCTATTTTAGGGGAGTCATTGATAGCCTCTATGCATTCTTCACTAGAAGCCATCCAAATCAGAGGCAATCGCTGCCTTTTGTGGGATACACGGTTGTAGTAACTAGTCAGTAATAAATCTCACAGAACAGCATGGCATTTATCTCTGAGGAAATGTGCATTATAAAGAGCTCTCCTGGTGGGCAACCCAGTACACCAACTTCCCCCAAACTGGTGCCCCCAGATGCTACAGGCTACAATTCCCATCAGCCCTGACCACCAACCCTTCTGGGCCTGGGACTCAAAGAGAGTTGAGAGTCCATTGCCAGCTCAAAGGGGCCCAACTAGGGCAGGCTGGCCAGAAAGCAAGTCCCATTGAAGCAAATGGAACTTCCTTTTGAGTTGCGATGCAGAGGATTATGCAGTTGACATTTACTTCCAAAAATGTGCAGTGGAAAAGATAGGAAAATTGGGATAGTCTTTCATTTTGGAAAGGAGCATGCAGTGGAAGTTATGCAGAGAGAAAGGGGGACTATATTTTGCAGGAGAGAATCATGAGCCCTGCTGAACACACCACACCCATAGATAACAAAAGGTCTCTTGCAACAGCATGATATTTGTGCTCTCTCTTGAGCACACTGTGTGTGTGTGTGTGTGTGTGTGTGTGTGTGTGTGTGTGTGTAGGGAATTGCATATGCTTTCAACAGATTATCTGAAAGAGACTTCAAATGCCTTGATAGTGCTTCTATATTGTCACCTGTAATGATAATTACAGTTCATGAAAACAGATGTACCATGAAAGAAGGGGGAAGGAGGGAGAAAGCATGCTGAGTCAGCAGCTAAAACCCACCTAACCAGATGAGTTCATGATTTTCTTGTAATCAGGACTCCCCAAAGCATGAAATGGATGTGTGCACTCAGCAACGGAGGTTCCTGAGGCCCATCGCAGCTCTGCATAATCCTGCCAGACTTAACATCAGAGGAAGCGAGATAGCTCAGCAGCAGAGCAGTTCCTCCACACATAGAAGGTTCCAGGTTCAATCCCTGGCATTCTCCCACTAGGATATTTTACAGTGGTACCTTGGTTCTCAAACTTAATCCATTCCGGAAGTCCATTCCAAAACCAAAGCGTTCCAAAACCAAGGCACACTTTCCCATAGAAAGTAATGCAAAATGGATTAATCTGTTCCAGACTTTTAAAAACAACCCCTAAAACAGCAATTTAACATGAATTTTACTATCTGAAGAGACCACTGATCCATAAAATGAAAGCAATAAACAATGTACTGCAGTCACACAAGCGATCAATCAGTAGCTGAACTGGGTTCCATACAGTCCCAAAAGCAACAAAAAAGAGCCGCAAAAACAAAAAATAAATAGCAAAAACTGACAGATCACAGTGTAATACTCAAAACAGAAGTGTGGCACTCAAATCGGAAGCATAACACTCAACACGGAGTATGTTTGGCTTCCAAAAAAAGTTTGCGAACCAGAACACATACTTCCAGGTTTGCAGTGTTTGGGTTCCAAGTTGTTTGAGAACCAAGGTACCACTGTATTATGTTTTTATATATGTTGGAAGCCACCAACATATCGCCACCGTTGTTGTTGTTGTTTAGGACATCCCTATTTTCATTGGAGAAATGTTAGCAGATATGTGGTATGCAGGGAATTAAGCTCTCCCCCCCCCTCCAGACCATTTCCCTAAATCCTGATCCGCCTCAGTCTCTCCCCCCACCCCTCAACTCACTGTGCAGCTGTTTGGCTGGGGCGGGGAGGGGGTGTTAAAGAGAGAGAGGCATTCACACGCCTCCTTTGTAACATGCTGTCTGAGCCGTAAAACATACCTGCTCAGAAATGTGCCCCATTGAATGCACGGACCCCGAGTTCCCAAGCAAGCATGCCTAAGGTCAGGTTACTCAAAAAGAAAATTGTGTGATCTAGTTGTGGGTTTGTGTGTGTGCATCATGGGTGTGTGTGATCCCTGAAGTTTGTTGCTGGAGGTAGGGGGAGACACATGTATCGTGCCAACTGGAAGATCTCTGCGAATTACGGGATGTAAGGAGCACTTAGTGGGGTCTTTCCCAGAGAGAACCTCTCTTGCTATGATGACCTAACTGCCCCCTCTCCCCAGCTGTTATGAATCAATGGAATCTGGCAAAAAGGCAGAGGAGACTGCGTCTCACTGCCAAATGCAGGATTGCAGTCAGCGGCGCTCAGACATCACGCACACGTGCAAACATAAGAGAGACCTCGCTAGAAGACCTGAGATGTTAAAAAGAGACGGCGGCACAGCAAGAGCAGCAGTAAGAATTATTCCAAATCAGCAGGTCAGCACCAAGATGATCCCATAGTTCGGCTTGGCATGTTGCACAAACCAGGATGGAGATAGACAAATATGTAAGGGATATGTTTATACTGGCCACTAGCTGCTCAAATCCAAGAGGTTTTTAAATTGGACAAAAAAATAGGGTTCCAGGTGGAAAAATCGAAACTAGAGACAGAACTGTTAGAACCAAAGACTAAGGTACTTTCGAGAATGTACAACTTGCTGCTTAAATGGAATACACAAGACGAGACAGTTAAATCCGCCATGATAAAATGGGCACAGGATATTGGGCATAACATCATGTTTGAGGACTGGGAAAGGTTATGGACCACCGGAATGAAATTCACGGCATGTAATGCCTTGAAGGAAAACATTATGAAAATGATATACCGGTGGTACATGACCCCAGTCAAGCTTGCTAAGATATACCACCTGTCTGATAATAAATGCTGGAAATGCAAGGTGGCTGAAGGGACCTTTTTTCACCTCTGGTGGACATGCCCGAAAGTGAAGGCCTTCTGGGAAGTGATTTACAATGAGTTAAAAAAGGTATTTAGGTATACCTTTCCGAAGAAACCAGAGGCCTTCCTTCTGGGCATTGTCGACCAGAAAGTGTTAAAGAAGGATAAAACTTTGTTTATGTACGCAACTACAGCATTCTTATAGCAAAATATTGGAAGACACAAGATTTACCCACACTGGAGGAGTGGCAGATGCAATTGATGGACTATTTCGAACTGGCTGAAATGACCGGCAGGATCCGAGATTTGGGAGAAGAGACAATGGAAGAGGACTGGAAAAAATTTAAGGACTATTTGCAGAAACATTATAAACTGTATGAATGTTAAAAATGTGCATGATTTGGAAATTATAGCTTCAGCAAACTGATTTACTGAATTAGAAATTAAGTTATAAGTAAGACAAGGTGGAAATTTGAAATAACTTTATTATGCTTATTTTAAGGTATAAGTAATGGAGAATTAACACTTTGAACTTAGAAACATAATATTTGAAAGATACAGTAAGGTACGAAATAAGGTAACAAATTGCTGACGTTTTTACTGCAAAGAACGCTGGGTTCGGAGGATGTGGGGAAGTCCAGTTGGTTTTATAAGAACTATTTGAAAAATTGAACTTTATTATTTTTTCTTTTTTCTTTTTATCTTCTTCTTTTATGTTTATAAATGTTTTTAATGTGGAATATATATATGTGAAAACCCAATAAAATTTATTTTAAAAAAAATATATATACTGGCCACTAGCAACTGCCATTTGTACAAGCATATATGAGCACAACTATATATTAAATTATTTCAGGCACTGAAAAATAGGGCAGACAGTCCCTCAATGTCCAAAGCGCTAATCCATTGTGCTTTGCACGCGTGGGTTCAAATCCCACCTTCGTCGCCAGTATTAAGTTGTGGGTGGACATAGCAGTCGACACAGAGATTTCTCCAAGTGGTTCTTTATAGTAAGCTGGAACTGAACTGAACAGCTCAGCTGGCCTGCTTTTCGCATGCCAACATTGTAACAACAACAACACCCCAGGGTTTCCTGCCTAAATTAACTTATGTGGACCTGAGTGAAAACAATGCCCCTGGTGGCCAGGGTGAGAACTTCAATACATAACAGTTATCATCCACTTAGGAGTCAACTCCCAACAGCCTGATGTGTGTGCCAAGCCAGGTCTCCGACTCAGGTGGAGAGGCGGCTCCACCTTAAGACTGACATCGGCGCAAGGGTCAGTTTGAAGCAGCTACTCACCATATTGGCAGCTGGGGCCCTGGAAGCCTGCAGGGCAGTGGCAGACCTGAGAGGAGCCTTCTGCACATTTGCCTCCATTGAAACACACGCCGTAATTGCAGACAGCTTAAAAAGAAAAAGACAGATGACCATATGAGATATGGATGCACTGGATAACTCAGTAGAGTATGAGACTCTTAATCTCAAGGTTGTGGGTTTGAACCCCACAGAGGGTGAAAGATTCCTCCATTGCTGGGGGTAGAATCTTGTGGTCTAGTTCAGCTCTATGATTCGATGAGACCATTGACTGACACTCTAGAATATGAATTGGGGGACATTCGCAGCACAAGAGCAAAAAATCCTTTCTGGCGAGCTTCCAGGGAACGCCTGCTGGCAGTGAGCAAAAAGGCAAAAGTGGGACAGATCGAGAAATGCAAATTTCACCTAGTTTTTAGAAACGTTCTCACATGCCTCTCTAGCCTCCATTTGGGCAAGCGGGAAGCCATCATCAGAGTTCAAGGATACCTGCTCTCGGGTTGCTCTGGAGAAAGTGTGGGAAGAGCGTCAAGGAGTTGCTCTTTTGTACACCTCACAGCTAAGCATTTCGGAAAAATGGCGTGCAAGTTCCACCATGTGCAATGGAACTTCCAGGGACAACACAGCTTAAGTCACCGCAAAAGAAGGTCTCGGAGCACTCCAACTCATGTATTTGCCATGTATGTCCACAGATCTAGCTGAAAGGCAATGCATGATATCCGAATTGATCATTGTAATGTGTCCCTAGTTATTATTATTGTGTAATTATAAGGAAATTGCATAATCTTAGAAGGGAGTGTAGCTGTGACTATCCTAAAGGGACCTCGCACTTCCAAATTTGTCACTACCCTCCTGCAGCCAGCCCACTATACTATGCAGCAGAACAGAAAAAGCTCAACAACTTTTGTGTCCATATTTGTACTTTTCGAAATATGGGAACCCTACCACATTGTGTCATACCACTAGAACAGGGGTCAGCAACCTTTTTCAGCCATGGGCCGGTCCACTGTCCCTCAGACTATGTGGTGGGCCGGACTATATTTTTTTTTGGGGGGGGGAGGGAATGAACAATTCCTATGCCCCACAAGTAACCCAGAGGTGCATTTTAAATAAAAGCACACATTCTACTCATGTAAAAACACCAGGCATGCCCCACAAATAACCCAGAGATGCATTTTAAACAAAAGGACACATTCTAATGTAAAAACACGCTGCTTCCCGAACCATCCACAGGCCAGATTGAGAAGGCGATTGGGCCTCATCCGGCCCACGGGCCTTAGGTTGCCTACCCCTGCACTAGAAGGACCTTTTTCATTGCTGCGAAGAAGAAGAAAGATCTCTTCAGCAGTAGCAAAAGACAAAAATCACGAGCAACTTTGGTACAATGGGGTACAACAGAATTACATAAAATATTCAATTAGCTATGCATTTAAAAAGCCCAAAGTATAATGCTATATTTTCAAATATGCCTTCCATTAATATGACTTAATCTCTCAAGGCTGCCTTATTTTTTAATAATAACAACAACAACAACAACAACAACAACCACCCACCCATCTGGCTGCGTATCCCCAGTCACTCTAAACCTGCCTCCCTCATTAAAAGGTAAAGGTACCCCTGCCCGTACAGGCCAGTCTTGACAGACTCTGGGTTGTGCGCCCATCTCACTCAAGATGCCAGGGGCCAGCGCTGTCCGGAGACATTTCCGGGTCACGTGGCCAGCGTGACATCGCTGCTCTGGCGAGCCAGAGCCGCACACGGAAACGCCATTTACCTTCCCGCTAGTAAGCAGTCCCTATTTATCTACTTGCAGCCGGAGGTGCTTTCGAACTGCTAGGTTGGCAGGCGCTGGAACCGAGCAGCGGGAGCGCACCCCGCCGCAGGGATTCGAACCGCCGACCTTTCGATCGGCAAGCCCTAGGTGCTGAGGCTTTTACCCACAGTGCCACCCGCGTCCCATGCCTCCCTCATTAAAGGGATATAATTCTTTATCAAATAAATCAAGTTCAGTTTCCCTTGAATTACATGGCAGTGTTAAGTTAGATGTTCCGAGAGAGCTATATCCCATACGTTGCTAAGCCACATCTCTTAGGGCATTAGCTCTCAAGATTTCTAACGGGATGCTAATCTTGCAGAGGCTAATAGCTGGAATGCAAAAATCTTATGTGATACTACAGGATTAGAGTCACTTTCTGTGGACAATAGAGCCAGGGCTGGCTCTGTAATCAGCTTCTGATGGGTACTGCATGCTATCTCTGAAAAGAGCTCCAAATTTTTGCACTTTCCCACATTCCCACCACAGGCAAAAATGTGCCTGTTACTCCACACTGTCTCCAACAACGCAGGGGCATAGATCATGTAATTTGAGAGAGTGTCATTGGTGTCTGATGCCAGCTTTAGACAATTTAAGAACCACAGTCCAAAAACGGTGAAGTGATTAGCTCCGAAGACTGTGTAGTTCATACAGCGTGATGGCGATTAAAATGCCACAGATCTTGTCTGGCACTCTGACAAGGGGTCTGTTCCAGTGGATGATGTCCAGAGCAGAAGTCTTTGGACTAGATCCCACTATGACAGAGAAATGCTCTGCTCAGCTTGAAGTCAAGAGAAACAGAAACAGTGCGATGTTTCTGAATTCCATACAAAACGGCAGGGCAGCAGAATGTCCAAGGATCTCCCCACTGTGTGGATGAACTCTGTCCACAAACATAGAGCTGCAGCCAATACTAGCCCGACTCAAAGTAGACCTACTATAGTTAACGGAGATGGTGATTCATAGAAGTCTAGGCGGTTAGGAGGGACCCCAAGCGTGGTCCAACTTCCAACAGTGCAAGAATCAGAACTGAAAATCCCTGACAGATGGCCACCCAACCTCTCCCAAGAAACCTCCACCACCTCTTGGAGCAGCCCGTTCCACTGTCAGAAAGTTATTCCTAATGTTTAGTGGGATTCAGCTTTCTTGTAGTTTGAATCTATTTGTTCGGTTCTTGAGTCTATTAGTTCGGCCGTGTTTAGGGAAGATTTTAATGAATGATGTTTTAATATATTTTAATCTTTTGTTGGGAGCCGCCCAGAGTGGCTGGGGAAACCCAGCCAGATGAGTGGGGTATAAATAAATTATTATTATTATTATTGCTGTTGTTGTTGTTGTTGTTGTTGTTATTATTATTATTATTATTATTATTATTACTACTACTACTACTACTACCACCACCATTATTATTCCCCTCTGGTGCAACAGAAAACAAGCTGGCTCCATTTTCCATCTGACTCACACCATTTTAAAAACAGATACATTAGTAAAAGAAACATACAGAAGATGCATTATGTTAGAGCAAGCTGTTTTAGAATGTGCATACAGTGGTACCTCTGGTTGCGAACGGGATCCGTTCCGGAGGCCCATTCACAACGTGAAAAGCCCGCAACCTGAAGCACCGTATCTGCGCAGGTGTGCGACGCAATTTGGTGCTTGTGCGCATGTGCAAAGCACGATTTAGCACTACTGCGCATGCGCGAGCAGTGAAACCCAGAAGTAACCCTTTCTGGTACTTCCAGGTCGCCTCAGGATGCAACCTGGAAAAACTTAACATGAAGCATATGTAACATGAGGTGTGACTGTATTAGTCCAAACTGCATACCAAAAAATGTGTGTATTAAAAGAAATGCCCCCTAAAAGACTAGTGAATTTTCATTCATTTCCATTCCTAAATATTGGGGAAGGGGCTGAATTAAGTTTGGGGGGAATAAGATGCAGGGGAAAACAAAAAAAAAATCACATATTCATCTGTTCCTGGGGACATATATCAGCACATGTGTGGAATTCCCTTCACATGGCTTCCAGCCACCTTGCCAGAGGAGATCATGGCCAGTAATCATTGGTTGCATCCAATGCTAGTCCTACTCAGAGTAGACTCAATGAAGTTGATAGGCATGTCTAATTCAGGTTCATTAAGGGTCAACTTTGGCAGCAGAAACTGATCCCTGCAACTCCCTCAAACATTCTTCTGCTCATTTCTGAACAGACGTAAACAGGTTTGTACCACAATCTACCCAGATACATCTGCAGCCCTCAGGATTAAATGGGCAATCCATCATTTGCCTCTCCTGTATTCTTACCTCTAAAATTCCAAAAGAATCTCTTTTTGTAATGCTCAAAGTGGTGTTTTTGGCCAACTAACCCCAAACGTTTATTTCAAAGTAGGAAAGAAAAACACCTCTTTGCAAAAGAGATAAAGAGTTGTTCCTCAGCTGGGTAAAACAACATACTCAGAACACCCACAGAGGCTGGAAATCTGAACAATGGGAATTAGCAGGAGGAGGATTAGCAGAATTATTTTCCTGCAAATTTCAGGAACTTTTGTAAGAAATTCAAGTGGATAGGAGAATCCACTGGCCGTAATCCACTATTTGCTCACTCCTGAGCATTTATACAGGATCAATAAAATTCCTCTGGAATAAATAAGTCTTGAGTTGAAGCCTATACAATGATTTTTGGGTTGAACCTGATTCCTACACAATCATGCATGGTCCAGAGAAAGTGGACAGAGGGAAGTTTTACTCTCTCTCTCGTAATGCTGGAATTTAGGAACATCCACAGAAGCTGAGTGCTGGAAGATCCTAGTTAAACTACGGAGTTTGCTCCTGCAAAGGACCAGTAATGGACTGCTTTAAAACTTGGACTGCTTTAAAAGAGGACTAGACAAATTAATGAAAGATAAGCCTATCAAAGACTACTAGTCACAATCACTAGGTTCTACCTCCCCTGTTGGAGGCAGTTGAACACTAGTTGCCAGAAATTGCAGGTGGGGATTTGCTGCTGCACTCAGGGCAGTCTGGTTGGCCACTGTGAGAACAGGATTCTGGGAAAGATGGGCCATTGGTCTGACCCAGCAGCTAGTCTCTTCTTGGGTTGCTCCTTAGCATGAGTCATATCTGAAGAGGTCTGTCTGCAAAGGCTCAGCTGTACCTTTTCATTTACAGTCGACCCCTTTCAGCTCTTGCAAGAAGGAAAACATCCCTGTGAGGCCCAGTGACACTAGCAGGTGTGACCCGGTGATCTCAAGTGGGTGTTAATTTACGCGAGCCATAAA